TACAGCCAGTCAGGAGAGAGGCCACCAAGTGAGTCTGTCATTCCCCCAAACTGCACTGACTGAAGGATTTGGGACACAAGTGGATTAAGCTGTTGGGGGTTTTAAGCAAATTCTCCTGTGGCTCATGTTGCCTTCCTCTCAGATTCTTGCAAGCAGCACGTTTTATTCCCAGCACCGACTTGCACCCAGCAGGGCCGCTCCACTGCCTACAGATAAGCATTGCACAACATTTGTTGGACCAGAGCTCCAGTGTGGCAGAACGCGTGGCCAAGCATTTCACAACTGCTGTCATCTATGGATTTCTGCTTACCGTGATATAAGGGGAAAGCCCAGCTAGCTACATCTGGCTCTGAAAAGGAGAAGCAAAGTGCACATACACTGCTCTGCTACCTTTCCTAAGGGGGAGAGCTGAATTACAAAACCACCTGCACGTCTCTGGGCTGTTGGGTGGCAGGGAGCCATTTCCTCAGAACCCTCCAGCCCAGGATGTCACAAGGCGGAGGGGGCTCGGCCCACCACCTTGATGGCTTTCCCCTTGGGGAAGTTGCCCTCCCCCGCCACGTTTGACCCAGCCTGTATGCAAGGTCAGAGTAACACGTCTCCACAGGTGGCTCCTGGCAGAGTTCAGGGTGCTTTGATGGCCTCTTCAGTGCTCAAGAGAATTTAGGCTCTCATTTTTGGCACAGAAAGGTCCAAAGCACGGTACTGCACAGACTCTCGCTACAGCCACTGAGCATTTGGTTCCAGGATCACCATGATGTGGTGCAGCCCCGCAAAGTCACGGAGTGCCAGGCAGCACCACTGCCCTCCTGCTCCTCCCTTCAGCCCCTGCATCCGCCATTTCTCCTTGGGGGAGACCAAAATCAGACTTCTCCTGTGTAACATCACAGTCTCCCCTAGCCGATGTCCCAATGGATGCATACTCCTCCTAAACGTGTATTTTCAATGAGGGACACCGGAGTTGCTTGGGAATCGCCCTCCAGGAAAACTCTATAACGAGCCCCCTCTCGTTGTCACAACCGTGCCTTAAAATGGCGCAGGAAGGAAGCGAATCGCTTCCTAACTCCCCTCTGCCCCACCGGCCGCGCTCGGGGCGCTGCAAGGCTGTTCCGGGGACAGAGGTGTGTCTGCGAGCG